CCCCAAAACCCCAAAACCCCAAAACCCCGATAGTGATTTTAAGTGTTGAAAATGGTACTATGAACTCTATTTGGTAAATGCCTTCTTGATGCGGCCATGCCAGGATTTAGGAAGGTGCTTAATGTAGCTAATGCTTAATCACTCGTGATTATATTCCTTATGACCGGGATGATTTTTAAACCCTCTATATAGTGAAGAGACTGATGAATTCTTGTCACTATTTTAGGCGATATATAGAGCATAGAGACTTTTACATAATTTTGGGGATTCTGAGTGCTTAAATGGGTTTTAGTAGAAGAAATTGAGAAATTTTAAAGGGAAGAGACTGGAGATAGAAGTATGGTTGGGAAGAATGGGGTTCGTTTGTGTATGGTGGCTTTAGGAGTGGATTAAGTGGATAAGATAGGAGTAGAGCATGATTTGTTTTTATGGGTGTTGTGGACATATTTTACGATTGAAACGAATGATCAAGATCAATAGCTGTGAAATAAAGTTTTGAATGAAATTAGAGAGACAATTTGAAGTGTTTAAATGCATATGATAGGTGAACCAAGGTTTAGAGATCATATATTCTAAATCACAAGCCTGCTGTCTCTATCTCACTTTAAAGTTTCTTTATTTGTCAAAGTAAATTTTAAAACAGGAAGGAGCCAGGTAAATGTTTGAGCTTAAATACCATATCAAAATCTGATCCTTATTATTAGCTCATTAAGAGTCAGCCCAACAATAATTTGTGGTCCTAAGAATATAAAATGCATGTTAGGTACATTACAGTTATGAAAAGGTATAATGTATGTGCTAAAATAGATCCTTCAGGCTAAAATAATTTTCTTAAAGAGAATATACTGCAACTAAAAACTAAAGTTGAAACATGCTATCCCAAATCTTTTGTACAAAGCCACCATCCTGTGGCTTTGTTCTGATTACTAACAGAAGGTTGGTTAAAGAGTTAAAGCGATCTAAAGGCTATACAGCAAATTATTAAAACAAGGACTACACTCATCATGAAAAATAAGCGAGCTTAAGTGATGAGCATGTAGTATATATCCCTGCTTGGCCCCCTAAGCCTAGTCCTCCCCTTCAGTGCTAAGCAGGGTTTCCCAGAAAGAGACTTCCAAAAATGAAACTTTCATGATACAAATTAAGTATAGACAAATTTATATACAAAGGCTAGTTTGGTGACTTTCAGTCCTGTTATAGCCTAATTTAGCATATGCCTTTCAGTCAGGTTTTGAGGTCTGTTAGCATTTCATTATCTCTTAGGTCGAGGTCGTCTCCCATACTGGAAACAGAGTCCATATGGCTATTGTCCTCGAGACTAGTCACTTTAATACTAGATTCATTTAGAGAATCGAAGTCGTCATCGGTTTCATCACCAAAAGTAGCAGCTGGGATTGTGAGTTTGAGTTCTTTCTGATCATTCTTATTTTCTGAATCGACGAACGCAAAGAATCCTTTAGTTGATTTAGTGCGGTCACCTTTGAGACGGCTGGTTCCAGCTGCCCTGTCTGGCTTAGGAGGCTTCAAGTGAGTCCCTTTCTCTACCTCATTTGTATCTAAGATATTTTCGTGGTAGTGGAGGTTTTTGGAGGACTTATGCTTTAATTTTAATGGTTCATCGATCAGAGCTTCATTCGCCTTAGCCTCATCTCAGTAATCGAAATTGGTCATGTTTGATTTCATCTCAGAAATTTCTGATTTCATTTCCTGAACCTGGATGCGTAATTGGTGATTCTCAGAAGCGACCGTGGTTATTTTCCTGTTAGTGGTGACATCGTCGCAAAGGTATCTGGCCTCATCAAGAGCTGAGACAAGATAAGGATCACATCTGGCGTACTCAGTAATAATTGAGTCGATCTTACTCCATTTATGCTCCATGACTTGAAATTGGTATTCCTTCTCCTCAAGAGCATCTTTTAATGTGGTGATTTGATCTTTGAGTTCGTATTTTTCCATTAAGTGTTCGTCCTTATTTTGCTGAACAAGTTGTTGAAGGATCAAAATTTCATCCTTATGCTTCTGTTCAACCTCCTTTTCTTGAGAAATTAAGTTCTCAATAGCTTGTTTGTGGATGTTAAGACTTTCTTGTAACTGAGAAATAGCTGTTTGAGCTGATAAATACAGTTTCTTATAATCTGGGGAATTATGATTATGGACACTCATTAAAATTAATATTATCGTATCATATTCCATTTTTGCACCTTTAAATGGGGTTTTGGGGTTTTGGGGTTTTGGGG